GGGTTAGCAGTGGGTTGGTCCCCCGAGCTTCTGGTCTCGGTTATTTGTAGTTCTTTTTTTATTTCGGTTTGTGTCGAGAAGAATGGAATAAAATATTGTGTGGTTTTTGTTTACTTTAGTTGTCGTGAGGCGGAGCGAGTTGTTCAGATTGAAGAGCAGCGACGTTTTTGCGCCGATATTACGTTACCATATATGCTAGTAAAGTCTCTCATGGACATGGTTGGCTTGATTTACTATCTTCAAATCTACCTACGATTTTGAAAGAAAGAAGGAAAACTATCATTTTACGTTAGAGAAGGAATCCTGTAAACATCAACGGATAGATGACAGCCAAGTTGCAATCTCGCCAACCTACATGCAAAGAATATTGGGGTTATCGAAGTTTTATATTTAACCTACTGTTATTATTTTATTATTCATGACAATAATAATGATACGTACAATATTATATGAAGACACATGTCCTGTTCATTGTGATTAAGGTTGGTAAATGGTAATAATAGATTTTATAATGATTCGAATCCTTGTCCAACGTGTGTTGTTCATAAAAAGATATATGTCATCCCAATAATTTTCCTGTTTCATGAGAGCTACGTCGACGGTGGTGGGTAGAAATTTCAAAGTTGGGAACTCCATGTGCTACCAGACAAGCTCAAATAATATATATAGATATTTGGGATCAAGATTTGACTTGTAATTTGTATCCGGCCTAATCATTTGAACTTATGAGTTGCTTTTGTTGAAAAATGTATACAGAAATTATGTAAAATTTATACATGAATGAGTCACGAGCATTAATTATCATTATTTTTTTTTATGATTTAAGCTTTAACTATTGAGAATGAATCATTTAATTTTATAATAATATATCGTTTGATTATGTAGAGATTATCGTTTGATTATGTAGAGATAATTAAAGCTTTTACTTTTTCCTAACGGAGATGATGATTTTATTCCCTAAACTATTGTACAACAATAACGTTATCCTTCATAGTTCATACCAAAGAAAGGAAAACAATGGGGAAGACAAGTGTTCGAGACTGTCAGGTACGGGGCTCTAGGATTAAATCTAAATAAAAGACCAGAAAATAAAATAGAGGTGCAAAACAAATATAATTTAATTTCTAAGGAAGAAATGCAGAATTGGGCACGTTTGGGCTTTGGCAACTGGGTCGGCAATAATTGTTGGCGTTGAAAATGTATAGCGACTTTTGAGAAACGGTCAACCGACCACCAGAATTTGCCAGCGGAAACACCGCGCTACCGTAACCGAACACAAACACAACCATGTCACACTCTCATTCTTTTACTCGCAACTCATTTCAAATGTTTTTTAAGTCAATATTAACTTTAGGTTTGAAAAATATGAGTTCAAATCTATAGATTGTAAATAATCTAAAGATTCTAACTTTTTAGACTGTTTTAAATAAATTTTAGGGTTAATACCCTAGTTTGGCCCGAATTTTAACGGGAGTGACAGTTATGGCCCCATTTTTCAAATAAGACATTTACGGCCTACTTTTGAAATTATTTGACAGATTTGGCCCGAAACTTGTGTTGACCGTTAATACTAACGGTCAAACACTTATTCCGTTAGTGACTTAGCAAAAAACTGCTGATGTGGCTTATGCAAGGTGCCACGTCATTAAATAATAATATTTTTTAATTTTTTCCCCCAATTAATAATAAAAAATAAATAAATAAACCAAAATCCCCAAACCTCTAACTCTCATCTCTTCCTCCCGCCGTCCCCAACCCCAACCCCCCCCCCCCAGCTAGACTGAGTACGAAGAGACTCTTAACCACCCTTCTTCTCTCCACCGGCGAAGCAACCGAAGCAAGAACCAGTACTGGCCATGGCGGATCAGAGGGAATCTCGAGAAGGAAGCTTGTCAGGGGAACGTGCGTCACCACCAGATCTGGATTTTTTTTTGTCTTCCGGTAATTAGATTGGGATTCTTTCAATCCTGACGATGTAGCTTGGATGTTTTCGATAGGAGGTTGCGGCGGCTGTGGGTGTCCACATCGACCCCGACGGCGACACCATTGCAGCCGGCGAGCATCAAATTTTTACGGCGAGGGTTAGTTCGGCGACGGCGTTTGCGGCAGAAGCTGCCGTGGAGATAGAAATTTCGTCGGAAGAGGTAGGGTTCCCAAGGGGTGGTACATCAACGACGACTGCTGAGAATAGTTTCGCTTTGTTTTCGACGGCGGCGGGTGGAGGAAGCGGCGGCGGGGAGAGAGGGATCGTTGTGGAGAAGCTGGATCCGTTCATGGACGGTGACTTTGTGGGTCGGTACCCGCCGTCGGGGTGGCAGGGGAGGATCGAGTGTTTACTCCAATTGGAGTCTGGAGCTTCGATTTTATTCTAGGCGGAGCACATCTCATCCTCCTGGTGATGTAGCGGAGGGACTGGAGATGGAGAACAATGGAGATTTTTTTGAATTCGAGAAGAAGGGAGGAAGTGGATTTAGACCCCAAACAGAGAGGAGGAAGTGGAGCCGATCCATCTTTGGGGATTTTGGGATTTTTTTAATTTTTCATTATTAATTGGGGGACAAAATAATAAATTATTATTATTTAATGACGAAGCACCATGTATAAACAAATTTACAGTTTTTTTTGCTAGTCACTAACGGAATAAGTGTTTGACCGTTAGTATTAACGGTCAACACAAGTTTCGGGCCAAATCTGTCAAATAATTTCAAAAATAGGCCGTAAATGTCTTATTTGAAAAATGGGGTCATAACTGTCACTCACGCTAAACTTCGGGCCAAACTAGGATATTAACCCTAAATTTTAAAATGTTTATTGTTCGATAACGGTGATTGTTAACATTCAATGAAATTAAAAAATTTAATTTTATATTAAATAATATGTTTATCCTTAATAAAAAAATTAGAGTGATTCGAGAAATATTAAAAAAATTGTTGATAAATATATTTTAAATGATAAATAAATAAACGAAAGATAAAAAGTAGTAGATAAAATCTCACGAATCAAGATATAGAATCTCTCTGATTATGAGAGATTTGATATCCGTAGATTTTAAAGATTTGAAATCTCCAAAGCTAAAATCCACAATACAAAAAGCAACAAAAAAACATAACTTTCAGCAAAATTTATAGATTCAATTAATCCACGCCCTAAATCCCGTTCTCCAAACGACCCCTTAATTACAAGTTTCATCACTCTGGAAAGAATAGCGAACACAAAATGTCTAAGCTCGAGTCATTTGTTTAGATGTTTTGCTTGAGGTACCTAGAACCCTATTGTGATGTTCCTAGGGGTTTTGATAGACTTCTTCCCCAATCTACTTACATTTTTTTTTGTAATTTTCTTTCTTTGGTTATAAATAAATACCTTATCGAAATTTATAAAATAATGTGTCTTTGTACAACAAAACTTTTTTTGGTAAAAAGAGAAAACTCTGTTGAATGATAGATTTGGAACACTACGTTCATATCAGTTATGATCAAATATTTAGCTTCCGACTGAAAATTGGTCGGTCAAACAATAATTCAAACGGTTAACCACTAGAACCTGATAAATTGGCTAGTTTGTTCCAATTTCCAAAATCAAACCCTACACACTCGAAAAGTAAGTTCATAAATTAAAATGTTGAAGAGGGGATTCCACCCACCTCTTTGTGGTTAAAGTATCTTCTTTCGAACGGTATTGCCACTAAATTTATGCAATTATACATAACTTATCTTGCTATTTATAGATAAAATATTTGGTTATACAAAGTTAAAATATCCCTGATTTTGATTTTTTGTCATTAAATATTTCTAACTTCCAAAAACCACTTGCGTTATCATTGGGTAATTTTCATTTTTGTAAAATAATAGTTTTCAACTTGCCATACATAGTTACATAATCATGGTTTAGTGTGCTATCATTTGTATTCTATTTATAATATTATAATAATTTATGAGACCCTAGTTCGTTAAGAAATTTTTAGCAGTTTAATATCGATTAAATCAATAAAGTATGAATTTTTCGCGACAAACGATTCGGTTGTGACATCATTTGGTCGAACAAGAAAGAGGAACAAGAAATGGAAGTGGATGGAATCGTTTAATTTTGGATAAAGTCCCTGGTTAGGAAGGAAGTCAGTCCTAAAGTCAAGGCCTATGAGGTGGAATACAAGGTTTGAGACGAGGTTCATAATGGAATCATGCCAAATCGTTGCACTAGACCCATTCTTTGTATATTTAGAGAGCCACGAGATAATAGTGTCTTACCTTCCCACTAGAAGGGCCATGCTAGCTTTACCTGGAACCATTGCCTCTATGAAGTTTAAAAATAAGACTATAAGTGTGGGATAAAATGTGCAAAGTGAAAGGTTAGATGGTACATTCTCCTTGACACACCATCCCACCAAAGAAGAAGGAAGGATGGTTGGCGGTCCTCATTTACACTTTCAGAGATGAAATTCAAGGAGGCCCTAAGTTGGGCAGATAACTGAGGTTGAAAGCTACGTCTTGCTCAAAGACATAAAGGAAAGAGTGCTCCATGCAAGGAAGTGCTTGTTTGACGTCCAACTTAAGGATGAAAACTAAAGTGCTAGTGAAGAAAGTGCCCAAATTTCTATTCAGTTTTTGAATCACTGTATGCCCCACCATACCTTTTCTCTTTAGCAGTTGCAAACTTCCAAGTTAACACCCACTAGGGCTGAAAATTTGTCTGTCCCGTCCCTAAAGGGTCAAGATGTATAACCGTCCCGTCCCGTCCCTGTCTCCTTCTTGACTCTGTCTGACCCTCAAGGGTTGGGACGGGACGGGCCGGGTCAGTGGGTCGACCCTAATCAACACACTACTTTTTTACAAATTAAGTTTTGGTACCCAAATTTATTTTTTCTTAAAATTTAGTACCTAAATTTTATTTTTGTACAAATAAGTCGATAAATTTTGATGGTAAAATTACGTTTTGGTACCCAAATTTTTTATTTTTACAAATTAGTACCTAAACTTTTAAAACTTTACAAAAAGGTCCAATGAAGTATGTGATATTTGTTGTTGCTAAAGGTCACAGGGTCAAAACGTGACCCGTCCCTAAGTTGTCCCGACCCGTCCCGACCCTTATAGGGTCAATAAATGACCCGTCCCTATTCTGTCCCTGTAGACAAACTGACCCGTCCCGACCCTTAGGGACGGGACGGGTCAGTAGGTCTTCCGGGACAAGCTTTCACCCCTAACACCCGCTACTCTTATTTTCATTTGTTTGAATTAAAATGTAATATTTCTACTTGTCATACTAATTTAGAATTTACCTGACATTCTGGTGTGACAATTTTTATAGTTATGTAAATTGGAATTTGAATTATAAGTTAGTTGGGGTTTCATACCATGTGAGGACAATCTATTAGGCATTTTCATTTATTTTTAATTTCTTTAGTCCTAAATTTCTCATTGATGTGAATCATCACATCTTTATAATTGTCTTGGTGCTATCATGCTCCACTAATAGAAAATTGTTTCAATGATAGTAAATACATAAAGTGTGGGGTAAGTGTAACACCTCCAAATACTTATACCATATGCATGACTTATCAAAACTTATAACAGTCATTTAAAATCCTCCAATTATGCTGAAACATTTCGCTACTTTGAACTTGGAAAAATACATTTCTACCCCGGGGTATAATTAAAAATCTCAAATAACACAACTTTAAATAAAATACCAAACTCAAATATCTTAATATCTCAAATCGAAGCCCTAAACAAGTGGGCAAAACTCAAATCGTCCCAAAAAAATGAATCTCCAGTCTTTAACTCTTAACCATAAAGTCTTAATAACTTGAAAAAGTTCTTCGATGCTTACTCTGACGCCTGGCTCGACATCTCTCAGCGACGGGGGTATTGAGCTCCTCTAGCTTGCTGATCACGGATTGGCTGGTTAGGATTTCCTGCTCTACGATCTCGTGACTGAGTTGGGGTTAGTCTACGCCCTTACGATTGAAATCTCTAGTATTTCTTACTTAAGAACTTAACTTAAACTGGTGGATGATACTTCCACCCTTTAAGATTTTATTCTTAAAACTCAAATCTCAACTTAAAAATTTGAGTGACACTGGGATCCCTCACTAGCTAGTCCGGTTGCCCGACTCATACGTATGAGAAGCCATCGAGGCTTTCCTTAAAAACTTAGTTAGGGGAGTAGTAATGATTCATCCCCCTAACATCTTAAACTTATCGTGATGGCTCTTCACCACGATTCTCAAGAGCATAACTGCTGCTCATCGTAAAATTCTCAAGAGCATAACTGCTGCTATATCTCAATATCTCAAAGGGAACCGGACTGTCGCTAGTGACTAAAAACACTTAAAACGATTTCACCTTCTTGAAAGGTGAAGTACTTTTAAAAGAAAACGTGTTCTTAAACTTCAACTTACTTATAATTAAAGCACACATTATAATATGTATAACTGGAAGCATAAGTCACACGCAATCACATGCATCATATAAACACACAAATGCAAATTTAGCACATAGAATTCAATCTAAAAAAACTAAAATATCTTAAGGCGTAGAATTTACCCCCTTTACACTCACCTTGAAAAGATGACTCCTCGATTCCTTACTCGAAGAAATCCCTGCTAACCGAATTATCTCGGTGAACCTATTAATAAGAAGGCCATCTCCTTAGTCGACCTTTCTCGATTTATAATTCCCTTTTGAGTCACTAGAACATCCTCTCCTCAAACTCTAGCCCTCAATACTCGCTCCCAAGGTCCCTTAACACCCTTTAAATTTTTTCTAGAAATAATCCCTTCAAAACCGACCACTTTTCCTAATTATTATTGTCTTGGACGAATTTTTCACCTAACTTGTACCTTCTTAAAAATTCGAATAATAATTTTCCTACGTCATTCATGAGTACCAGTACCCTAGAAAATTATCAGACCCTTAAAAACCCCTCGGAAATATCTTTATTTACTTAAAAAATGTTCAAACAATTTCTAAAAATGGAAATACATCTTCAGAAATCCCAAAATTATATGAAAGTCATCTCCTAGACCTCCCTCAATTTATAAAATTATTAAACCCAGGAAAAAACACCCACAGAGGGTCGAAACAATTTAAAACATCTAAAATAAGTTTCTGCAAATTCCCAGCAGCTTTAGTGACCACCCAAAATCTGTCACTAAAGGCCTGAACGTCTGTTGCTAAAAATCCAGAATTGCACCCTCATGAAAAATTTCCAAATTAATCAACCTAACTCAAAGAGATCGAGTTCCCTTACCTCTAAAACGTGCCTAAGCCTAGGTTGGATGACCCGGGACGTTGATCTCCTCGTTGATCGAACCCTCAAACGTCACCGCTAATAAATACGAGCTTCGGATTATACTAACGATGAATCGAGTTTAGAAATCGCGAAGGGGTTCGTGATCCTTACCTAGAAACACTAAAGAAATGGGCTAGGAAATCATGATCGGGATCGGCTGCGAGCGCCGCTTTCTTCTTTCTTCCTCTTTTTCTTTCACCTCGCGCGGGGCTGGGAACAAGATCAGGGCGGCGGTTGTTGGGCCAAAAAAAATGGGAGGGGGATTTTGGTTTGGGAATTTGCGGCTGCTAGTTAGGGTTTGGCTGCTGGGGGGATTCTTCCTCTCTGGGGAGATTAATTGAGAGGGTTTGGGGCAATTAATTGAGGACCGCTCGGCCGCCAAGTCTGATATATATATATATAAAATAAAATAATAATAGTTACTAATCCGCGATTGCAAATTTTAGCACGCAACTGTCAACCCAACCGATCACGTATTAAGGTCGAACCTAAACCTAACTGCAAATTTCCTCCACCCTTATAAATATTTCATCCCCGAAATTGGAAGGATATTATAGTCCCTTTTACGAAGCAACGTTGTTGTTGAAGGGATGACGCTAGTTGAGATATGACATTTCCCTCTCCCTTAAGAAATTTCGACCTCGAAATTGCAGGTTGAACCGAGTTGCTAGCTATCGTGAAACTGGACTGAACCACCAGGTCTTATTATTGAAAAACCGAGAAATGGGAACTAAAAAGAGAACTAAAAGTGGGAGTACACAGAAGTTCGCCAACTACCGATCTAAATGCCATTAAACAACTCTGGGTTCTTCTCTCTCATGCAACTCTCTGTCTCCCAAGTTGCAGCCTCGCTACCCTGATTTCTCCATACCACCTTTACCATGACAATCTTCTTCCTCCTCAACTCCTTTTCCTGCTTATCCACAATCTGGGCTAGGACCTCCTCATAGGTCAAATGATCCTCCAACTGGATTTCCTCATGCTTGATCACATGCTCCGGGTTGGATCGATACGCCCTTAGCATGCTGACGTGGAAAACATCGTGAATCCTAGATAGGCTAGGAGGTAAGACTAGTCAATAGGCTAAGGGTCCAATGCGCTCCAACACCTCATATATAGCGATATACCTCGGACTAAGGTTTCCCTTCTTACCAAATCTCATCACTCCCTTCCAAGGGGACACCCTTAGGAATACCATATCACCCACTTCATAACTTCGCGGGTTCCCTGACCTCTCAGCATTACTCTTCTGCCGGTCCTGAGCCGCCTTCAACTTCCGGCGAATCACCTTCACCTTCTACACTGCCTTCTGTACCATCTCCGGACCCTCTAGATGTCGCACGCTGATAGACCGTTAATTACACATGATTTTACCCGTGTTCTCACACCGTTTGAGATGTGATTTCTCGTGTTTTAAGCCGATTTCACGCTAGGTTGTGCTTGTTTGTGATATTTCAGGTCCTAGTACGTGAATGGAGGCTTGGGAGCGAGTTTGGGGTCGATTGGACGAAGATCGGGCGCGAGGCAAGTCACAAAGGAGGCCACACGGGCACACCCGCAAATCACACGGCCGTGCAAATCATATTTCTGGCCGTGTGAGATTGTGCGAGAGCAAACACGGCCTGCCCTGACAACACACACAGCCGTGTGAAGAAGTGGCTTGGCCGTGTGACTTTCGCCGAGAGCAAACACGGGCAGATGGAAGTCACACACGGCCGTGCGACCTTGGCCGTGTGAGAAGCCTGAAAATCGAACTAAGTGGAACGCATCGTTTTGACTCACACGGGCAACTGGGTATGCCACACGGCAGTGTGGCCCTGCCGGTGTGAGTCGGGATTTCCTGGTTTTAACCCAATTCCGGGCTGCAAGAGAGAGAATCGGACTTTTTGAGCAAAACAGAGCCCTAGAGAGAGAAAGGACGAAGAACACATCCTAGAAGCCATCTTGGAGCTGGGTTTCATCAAATCAAGCTTGGAGATCGTCATAGGAGTGGAAATCATCATCCCAGAGCAGATTCTTCCCATCAGTATGAGTATGACTGCTTTGTATCTTGTTTTCCTCTCTCTCTCTATGGAGTAGAACCCCTCTCTCACTTGGGGATGAAGAACCCTAGTTCTATGTGTTAGGGATTGATTGTAATGACTTGGGATGATATTACTGTTTGATTTTAATCGAATGATGCATGTTTATTGAGTCAATTGAAGTCTGATCAACTTTTCCTGATTCCTGCTGCAATCTGAGATAGATAGAATCTGATTAGGTTGCTAGAGTCTCATCATTCGATAGTAGGAGATTGGCTATACGAGAGTTAGCCAGTTTACTGCTTTGTTAGTGGAGTTCTGTTCTTACTGCTTCAGCTTTCTATCCCGGTGAAGACTAGTCGTCTGCCGGGTAGTTAGACTGAGAGGGCTTGGTCAGCTTAAGAGATTCCAAGCTACTGTCGGATCTTCCGCAGTCTAATCAACAGTAAATCAACCCAGGGAAGTACAATTGAAACCTAACTAAGGAGCTAGGGGGATTCATTCCCGAGTGACTCTTACCTGCTTGAGAAAACCGAATAATTTCCTGCTTTCTTTCTGCTTTTGCTTTTAAACAACAATCACATACTTTAGTTGGATAGATAATAGAGAATCACTGAGTAAGCAGTAGACCTAGACCCCGGGTTGATAATATAACTTGCCTGTTACTGCATTCTCGGTCTGCGATTACACTTGGTCGAAGATTGGTGTTGTGTTTTACCGTGTCAAGTTTTTGGCGCCGTTGCCGGGGAACCTCTAGGTTATTGGGGAAACGTGAGAATTTGTTACTCTAGCTTTTTCTTTATTTCATTTTATCTCTTCCACCTGTGTGCCTTCACGGGTTGCTTCTGCTGATTGTGTGCAGGTAGTGCATGACCCGTAGCCAGTCGGGAGATCTACTACCACTAGACTAGGAGCTTGAACGAACCTGCAGAAACATCAAGCGGGCTCTAAAGGCGCGACTGGCTGCGGAGGAGGCGCTAGCACAGCTACAGATCACTGAAGAAGAGGAGATGGCTGATCCACAGGGCCATGCTGTGGTCGATCCCGAGGAGCAGACCATGGGATCCTACTGGACCGCTAGAGCTGCGGACATGAGGTCACCCATTCAGCATCCTCATGTCCCAGCCAACAATTTTGAGGTGAGCACCTCAGTAATCACCATGCTGCGCGGTTCAGTGGTGTTCCGTGGTAAAGAGGGGGAGTGCCCTCGTTCACATCTCAGGCGATTCCACGAGCGCATCGATGGAATCAAGATCAATGGGGTCCCAGCAGATGCCATCCAGCTGAGGTACTTCCCATTCACCTTGGAGGGGCAGGCCAAGGAGTGGCTAGACACTCGACCTCCGTGATCCATCACCACGTTCGCCAACCTGGCGGACAAGTTCCTTACCCGCTACCATCCTCCGTCCAAGACGGGGGACTTGCAGAAGCAGATTACCCACTTCACCCAGGATGAAGATGAGACCATCTGGGACGCCTGGGAGAGATACAACAACCTCTTCCTGAGGTGTCCCAATCATGGTTTCAACGATGCTTTCAAGGTAGGAACCTTCTATCACGCCCTCTTCCCGGAGGACATGCTGACCAAAACACCGCCACAGCTGAATCAACTCTTTGAGGAGATGGCGGAGAATGGGTATGATTTGGGCACTGCCAGGAGATCGAGACGAGCACCAGGACGGGGTGTGCATGCTGTAGGCACCCATTCATCTGATTTGGTGCAGGTGGTATCGAAGCTGGTGTCAGCTATCGATCGTTCTGGTTTGATTGCAGGTACAGGACAGCCGCAGGCGATGCTCTGCCAGTGGTGCGAGAGCACCCATCACACTGTTGAAGACTGCCAAGCGATGAAGTAATCGACAACACCCCAGGAGCAGGTGAACTTCATCAACAATGTTAGGCGCAACGACCCCTACAGCAATACTTACAACGAGGGGTGGCGCCAGCATCCCAACTTCTCCTGGGGTGGGGCAAATTCCAGACCACCAGTCCCCCAGGGACCACCGGGCTTCCAGAGGCCACCATATCAGCCCAGACAGGGGCGATTCCAGCAGCAGCAGTCTCTCTACCAGCCCATGTAGGGGCATGCTGCTCCATCACAGCCGCGACCTTTCCAGCAGCCAGGTGCAGCCCCTGCTGCCCCAGTGCAGAATGATCAGATGGCTGAACTGCGGGAATTGGTGGGTTCTCTCGCCAGTTCTAGTGCTAAAAAATTTAACACCATCGAGCAGTTCATGGAAAAGGCATCGGGTAAATTCCTAGCTCTTGAAGCTGGCCAGAGGAACACACAGGCTGTCTTGCAGGATATCCAGACCCAGCTGGGGAGTGTGGCTCAAGCAGTGGCACAAAGGGCTCCTGGTACCTTGCCCGGTAAGACCATTCCTCACCTTCAGAAGCCGAATGAGCACTGCAATGCCATCATGACCAGGAGTGGCAAGATGACTATTGATCCACCTGCTCGGGAACAAGAGAGAGAGGCCCCTGCCTCGGCATCTCCAGCAGCTGAAGCAGAAGCCGAGAAGGAGGTTGAGGTGTCTGCACCTAAACCGCAACCAGTAGTGAAGGAGTATATCCCTAAACTCCCCTTCCCTACTTGGTTGCACAAAGACAGGCTGGAGGCAGAGTTCGAGAGCTTGATGGCCATGCTTAGGAAGCTGAATGTCCAAGTGCCTTTCCTGGAGGCACTATCTCAAATGCCTAAGTATGCGAAGTTCCTGAAGGATCTTCTCTCAAAGAAGCAGAAGCTGAGCGAGCTGGCCACTGTGGAGCTCAGCGAGGAGTGCTCGGCCATTCTGCAGAACAAGCTTCCGCAGAAACAGAAGGACCCAGGTAGTTTTACTATCCCGTGCTCTATAGAGAATTTGCATGTAGAGAGGTCCTTGGCGGATTTAGGTGCTAGTATAAATGTTATGCCATATAAACTGTTTAAGAAACTAGGCCTAGGTGAACCCCGTGCTACTAGGATGAGCCTTCAATTAGCTGATCGATCTGTAGTGCATCCTAGGGGCATAGTGGAAGACCTTCTGGTTAAGTTTGGCAAATTCAATTATCCTGTTGATTTTGTGATTTTGGACATAAATGAGGATGTGAATGTGCCATTGATACTGGGAAGGCCTTTCCTGGCCACCGCCAAGGCCCTCTAATACTCATCCTGCTTCGTCACCTTTGCATGCTGTATCTCACCAGGAGCACGAGTCTGTCGTGTATCCTCCTGTGTTGCCTATTTTGCAGGATCCGCCTCCCATACCTTCGCCGCCACTCCCGTCCACTCCGTCATCGAAGGAACAAATCAGGGAGGAGTGGCGGCCAAAACAGCAGGCAGCTAAGCCTGCTCGAAAGAAAGCCGGAGACCACTATGAGCTGGTCCCGCCCCCACCTTGGCCATCCGAGTATTCACTCGCTTGCATCCTGCCGGATGGCCAAGTTGAGTTGGCAAATGCTGGTGGCCACATTCGGCGTGTGCATGGCCACCATTTGAAGTTGTACCTCAAGAGCGAGGTGGATCCGCTCTTGAAGGCACCTGCTCCTTCACCTCACTGAGCATCCACCGACTGGCGTCCAGCTAAAAGACGGTAAAGAAGCGCTTGTGGGGAGGCAACCCCACCTAGGTTTGCATTTTCTTACCTTTTTCTTTTTGATTTTTTGTGTTTTTTGAGTCTCGAGATGTTGTTCCAGAGTTGAATTTCGTTTTTGAATGAAAACAGGTTGATTTTGGGGCTCCAGCAGTTCACACGGCCAAGCCTAAAACTCATACGGCCGTGTGGATTCTTTCCACTGGCCGTGTGAGCTCTCGACAATTCCCACACGGCCAAAAGTGCAACTGGCACGGCCGTGTGGATTGGCCTGGCCTGGCCGTGCGGCCGACACGGGCAACTCATTTTATTGCACGGCCGTGTGATGGAGTGGCCAGACCGTGTTTGCTCTCGCATAATATGGCACGGCCAAATGAGCACTCGGCACGGCCGAGTGAAATTCCTCGGCCAGGCCGTGTCGGCCGACATGGGCAAAAATGCCCATGACACGATCGTGTGGATCAGGCCGTGTGGCCGAGACACGGCCTATTTATTCGG